GAGTAAGATTATATATATACACAAGGAACTGAAGTCGGCAATGAAAAGAGAGAAAAACTAAGTTCAATTGCAAAAACAGATAACTCCATCTTCACAAACCTTCAGAAAACCCACTTTTCCATCATCTACCAGAGATAATATCAATTAAAATTAAGTCATCTCTACTTTTGTTGTGTCATTTCTGCCGAGTCACCTCCACTCAACATCAGTTTGATATTATCTCAAGCAAACAACAACAAAAAAAAAAACATTTTCTGAAAGTCTACAAAAATGGAGTTATCTGTTTGTGAAAATGAACTCTTCATTTGTTCCATTTTCCAACGCTTACACATGTATAACCAGCCTCCTTGTGTCCGTGTGCCCTCAGGCGTTTTTTAAAATATTACTCATGTACATCCAGTTCTGTTAGAATCTCACTCCGGGAAAAGTGACTCGTTTTGTACTTTTCTTTAAATAAGCAGTAAAAGTTTAACCACCTCGTCAGCCTTCACCCACAGTATATGGTGGGTGATGTTTACTGCATTTGTTTTGCATATCCAATTGACCGTATCTTTTCTCTGTAAATGCTGTTGTTTGTGCTGCTGTTGAACAGAACGGGGCTACGCCGAGAGGTATTTTTAAATCCACCGTCATTGATATAAATGAGCTTTCAGGGCTGTTGTGTGCCTTTTTACAGTTAAATGCATCAGGCTACTGTAGCTCTTAGTGGGGCAATTATAAAGCATAATAAAACCAAGTCCTCAGTGGATGAAGGCTGTTCATTTCTCACGGAGCTGACTCAGTTGGTAAATGACGGAAGTACGGTGGTAATTGTGGAGAAACTGCACACAGAAAGACTGAAAAAGCTTTAGGTGTCCACCAGATCTTGAATTAATGGGAACTAAAGAACATTTATTCATAAAACTGCAGGCAATTTACCAGACATTGGGAGCTGTAATGATAAACCACAGATTAATATATTATAGGTGATTCTTGCAATCATTTTGAATAACTGCTATCTGAATTTTCCAGGCGAAGTTCCTCTAAATTGTTTTGCATCATCTTACAGGTATTTTATAAGGTTTGGATAATTGCTGTCTGTCTCCAGAAGTACGCAAAGTGTTAATAAACACCTCTCTGTTTTGTTAACTGTCATTTTAAGATCAGGGAAGAAACATATGTCAGAGTTTGACACCATTTTTTTGTATTTTGATGTGAGTTCTCACAGCTTTTCTCTTGCATCTTAATGATACGTGCTATATGTGCTAATTGTAACCACTGTGAACCGCTCTCAAAAATAAACTCAGCTGTGACTCTGAGCAGCATTGCTTTATCTGTCTTCCCTGTATCTCGTTCTATCTGGAAGCTAAGTTAAACTTTTTTTTTTTCTTTAAGAATTGAGTGTGCTCTGTCTAGTCATCTCAGTCTGATCCCTCTCCTGGGTTTATCCCTCCGGCTGATCTGATTCTGTTCTCCAGGAAACATTCGCGCCGAGCGCCGGGCTTCTCCTCGGTCCCCAGTGGATCTCCTTCACATCAGCGGAGAAAGGAAAGAGTGTCGACTCCTCCATCACGGCCCTCTGCAGAAAAAGGATATAATATTTGGCTGTGGCGGTGCAGATAGGCCCCTGATGTTGTGCCGCAGCAGGTGATTTTTGCTGATTGTGAAGAGACTGAAGAAAGCACAGAACTCCTACGACTGGTTGTTGTTAGTGATAAAGCATTAATCTCCAAACACCGGCACAAAGACACACACATCTGTAGCGTCAGGAAGAAAGAAGTAAAACATTTCAAGGCGAGAAAGGCTGAAACAAAACATTTACCAACAATCTCCATAGAAACATCAAAGGCAAACAATAATTAATAATGTGAAATATTAATAAACTCAATATTTATTTTAGAAATAATGTTTCCCCCCACACCAACTATTCTGAAATGCCTTAGTTCTCTTTGTTAGCTGTCATAACTTGTGAAATATTAACCAGAAAACCCACTGGCAGGTTTAAGGGCTTGTTATCTATTTTTAAAATTGCCAAAATTACACTTTATATAACATCTCTCAGAACCAGAAACTGCATAAACTAAGATCATTACTACATTTTCCACGTTGCAACATTCCTTGAACTCATTTCTGAACTAACCATGTGATGCTCTGATGGTGAAATTACTCAAATCAAAGCTTAACATTGTGATGTTCGTGGCTGTATTACTTTTCGGAATCATCCGTCTTCATGACGTTGTTGAAGAAATTTTACTCATCGTCCTCATGTGAGGTTTGCTGTAGTGGATGTTTATTAGTATTCTGGTATACGGTGGGCTCACCAACACAGAGCATGGGTCTGTGAAGGTGGACCGACCCTGAACATCTCCAGAGTCACACATTTATAGGGTAAGTCAGACGGTGGGGGAGGGGGCCTGTATGTAAATACAGAAGTGAATAGAGGTAAATTAACATACAGTTGCTAATCAAATGGCAGGAGGTAAGGGGACAATGAACAACAAGGGGTGGAATCGGGGGTCTGTGGCAGGAGGTGGGAAAACACATGACAACAGGAAATGAATTCAGGGGTCTTTGACCATCAAAATAAAAGAAAATGGCTTTCTTCATCAACGTTAATGTGGTATGGTAAAGTATGTAACAAGCACTATTGCAAAGTTCAGGTTCCACTCGTTTTTCTGGTATGATATCAACATGCAATGACTGAATAGATCTTAACATATCCAAATATTAACATATTCAGTTCAATGCAATTCAATTTTATTTGTATAACACAGTTTACAACATGTGTCATCTCACAGCACTTAACATAGTAAGGTGATGGTTGACAACGGTGGGAAGGAACCAAAAAAAACACAATGAAAACCTCTGACAGAACCAGGCTCAGGAAAGGCGGCCATCTGCCTCAACCGGTTGGGTGAGAGTGGGCATGAGGGAGGGTGGGATAGCAGGACAGCAGATGGAGAGCAAGCAGTCGAACAGAACAATACATTTTTTGGGGGGTCAGTGAGGCCGGCGGCTGCAGATCAGAGACGTCCGCAGAGAAAACACATCCCGTATCTGTGCTATCAAGAGTAATAAGAGTAATAATAATTCAAACAAGAGTAACGGCCGTGAAGATGCACAGCTCTCTACTGGTTGTACTAAATTTAATGTAAAGATTTATTTTTTTCCCTCAGTGACGCTTTGTTTCACAGACAAGCCACTACCATTGGTGGAAAGATCAGATTGTCCATTTTAATTTGACATGTGCTACACCTCGATGTAAAAAAATACTTCAAGAGCAATTAAGCCTAGAAGAAGGGATGCAAACTGGGATGCAAAGTGAGTCAGTCGGGCTCTAAGTGTTAATTATGATGAATTTGAAGTCTTATTACAGTTACATCAGGTGTGTCGTATGAAAATTACCCCCTGTACAGTTGTTATGAGTGGAGAAATTAACTATAGAGACTAAAAGTGTTTTTTGTACCAAGCTGTAAACATGTTAATTTCTGCTGTAAAGTTAGACACTTTAACATGGGCGTCTATTTGGAGCCAGCCTCAAGTGGCCATTCGAGGAACTGCAGCTTTTACAGTTTGTAGCCGCCCACTGCCGTGTGGATTATCCTTGTGAAGCCTCAGGTTTGGCATTTAACCGCTGATATTTTGATCTTTGGAAACCACATTGTCTATTTCCATCAGTACAGAACCTTAACTTAAAATATAAAAAGCACGCTATATTCAAAAACTGTTAAAACTAGGACCATAAAGTCATTAGAAAAACGAGGCAACAAAGAGAGCAATAAGTTAATTCTCTCATAGACTTCTATACAATCTGACTTCTTTTTGCAGAGAAGTTGCCTCCTGCTGGTTGTTAAAAATAATGCAGGCTTGAGGCACGTCCCTGCTGACTTCACTTTTCAGACCTCGAGGCTTTTACATACACTTTCTATAGTATCTTTTACAAACAGTCCAAGGTACACAGATATTCACATGTTCGTCTTCTCTACTGAATGACCACCGGGAGCCTCCTTAGCCATGCGAGTAAAATCTGAACTACCTTAGTAGAGGATTGTGCTGGCTCAAGCCAAAAAGGCCCACATGAAAGATGGCTGCTGTCAACACCAGCCTCAGAAGAGAAAGTTGTGCCGGTTTGGTTGTATAGAATCTAGAGTTAAAGCTGTTCGCCCTCGGCCCAGGCTGAAAATACCCAGAGGGACAAACAGGAATATCCTCACATCAAACTTACAACATGTTGCTGCAGGCTTGCAGGATGTCAACATGTTTGATGTAAGGTATGTGATGCTTTTAAGTGTCCTGCATCTCCTGGCGTTCAGTCTTACACCTTTGTTATCTGTTATGAAAGGTCCAGCTTTTTTTTAAGGAGATTGTTGGATTTGTCACTTTGAGAACTTGGCAGCTACTGATGCCTTTATGCTATAAATGCAGCTCATGCACTGTTGTCATTATACAATTCTATGTATGAATGTAAATGGACTTGAGAATGCCGTTTAGCTGTATAGGTTTTGGATATAACAATAATAATAATAATAGACTTTACACAATAAAATGGCAATTGGTCAACACATGGTTGATTCTGTCCTTGTGATAACTTTAAAAACTTATTTTTCCTAACTTTTAAATTATAACTCAAATGACAACAAGCATAATGAGAGATAATTGTGGTACGTGGATATGAAACACAGTTCTTTATGCTTTTACCGCTAATAAAAGAGCATCTGTTGTATTCATGACATGCTGTGCGTTTGCTTGACCGGCCATTATTTCAGAAGAATATTATCCAAAACAAAAAAAGAAGAGTCTATAAAACAGCAATCTGACTAAAAAGCTATGGGATATTCAAAGGGGTTTTTGTTAACAGTCATTTTTCTCTTTGTATGGGACTTGTTTTAACAGAAGGAAGCTCCCTCAAAGCTTCAAAGACTTCTTTCATCAATCATGAATGATAGGTTTAGGCCACATGGGAGGCAGTGCTTACATGTACTGTACTGTATGCCAGTCAGATTTCAAGAACCTACGGTTCATATTTTTATGTATTTGTTCCTTGAATTGTAAAGAGAAAGTTACCACAACTGATTTTGCTCTTGAGTTCAGAGGTGCAGATTCACATGCATTTTTAAAACACAGACTGCTAATGTTATTTTGCTGCACAATTTATTCGTTCTGTCTTTAATTTGCATACAAATTGACCCCTCACTCCTTTCTAACCCCCCCCCCCCCAAAAACATCTTCTACAGTGAAGATTTTTTAAAGCTCACCCAGTGTAAAATGGGAAGTCTGCAAAACGTTGACGAGCAATGCCCATCGTTGCCTCGCATGATGAGCGTGTGTCTGAAACAGGAACCACGATGGCTGATTCACTTTGGTTTCTTTACATTTGATTTGTACTAGCAGTTACAGGCTAGCTTGGCATTGCTAAATCCTCTGCATCTGTTTTCCTAATATCACCTGGTCCACGGTATCTGCAGTTTTAACCTCCATAGAAACAATAAAACAACAGGCGCTTTAGAATGTTTATAGTTGTTTTCCCCTGCGTAGTGAGAGAGTTTGTGAAATAATGGTCTCGTGCATAGATTTTTAATCCAACATAGGGGGAATATAATAATGCAGAAAAAATATTAATATTAGTGTTTACAAGGCCTCAGAAGAAACTGTTTTACAGCCTGTTTGTCCTGCTTTTTAAGGCTGAGTCTCTTCCCTGATGGCAGCAAACTGAACAGCGGCCGGCCAGGGTGGGTGCTGTCTGCCCAGATGTTTTTAGCTCTGCTGATGCAGCGGGAGGTCGTGATGTTTTCCGGGGGGGCACAGGGCAGCCAATGATTTTCTCTCCAGTCCTGGTGACCCTCTGCAGAGCGCTTCCTGTCTGTGGAGCATTTCAGCATCAGGGTGCAAATTTAGTCTACTCATCAACAGGAAAGACTGTGCAGGGGGCATAGTGGGCCTCCAGATGATGAAAATCTGAAGTAACGACAAAGAAGAAGTAGAAAAAGGAAGGAATCACAGACACATAACCAGAAGGAGTAAGAATTCAAAGCTCACAATCCTTTTCACAACCGCACACAAACACTTGACATGGATTTTAAGGTAAGAGCAAGAAATTCAAAACTATATATATATAATATATAAATATATAAATACATTTATTAATCATCTGTATTTTTAAATGTAGGAGTTCAATTCAAAGGCTCATTGTCATCTATTACACACACAGTATTCGTAACAACTGACAATGGATATTCTGTCTTTGTGTTAGATGAAGCTGTTGCTTGTTCTGGTCATGCTGACTGCATGTGCTGCAAGCCCTCGTGGTAAATATGTCTATTTTTTCCATTTAACGGCATGAACATTTCAAGGAAACATCACAGTTGCATGCAAGACAGTTTATGGTGACTTGCTGTCTTTTACTGGTTTGAACCATAACGTGTGGTGTCATCGTCAAAAACAACCAAATCTAAGCTTAGAAATGTGACAGTTCACCCAAACAAATAAATAAATAAATGCAACATGACTCTAAAGCAGGGCTGCAAGGTGTATCAGTGGTTACCACCGTTGCCTTGTAGCTAGAAGGTCGCCGGTTGCGTCCCGGTGAGGACGCCAGGATCTTTCTGCGTGGAGTTTGCATGTTCTCCCCGTGCAGCGTGGGTTCTCTCTGGGTTCTCCGGCTTCCTCCCACACAGTCCAGAAACATGTTGAGGTTAATTGGTGATTCTAAATTGTCCGTAGGTGTTTGTTGATTTGGTCTTTTTACTGTTGGGGTTTTGGGTTGTCACTGTACAACTATTCTGCAAAGAATTTGTGCTCACTACTACTTTTTACTTTATGCTGCTATGTAACGCACAAAGGAAATTTCTTCATTGTAAATTCTTGTGTTTGAAAATTCAATAAAAAGATCATTGATTTAAATTGTCCGTAGGTGTGAATGTGAGTGTGCTTGGTTGTCTGTCTCTAAGTGTAGCCCTGTGATAGACTGGCGACCTGTCCAGGTTGTCCCCTGCCTTCACCTTGAGTCAGCAGGGATAGACTCCAGGCCCCCGTATACCCTCGTGAGGATTAAGTGTTGTATAGATAATGGATGGATGGATGGATAGATGGAAGTTGTCAGCAAGTTGTTGGAAGGATACATTCAGCATGGTGAAACATCAGTCTGGAGCTGATGTGCAGAATAGTGTGAAAAATCAGCCCAACTCAAGTCTGAATCTGCCTGACTTGACAAAACCCTGTTTTCTCTCTTTTCAGATATGTCAGATAAAATGTTCACCTTCGCACTGAAAAGCAAAAATAATCACGTGCAGCTGATCACATCACAAAAGTCTTTCAGCGCTCTAACTGTCTGTCTCAGGTAGCAACGGATGTATGAAATGCAAATAATAACTCTCTGTAACTGACTGTGCAATATATCATACATGATGTGTCTGCCATGCCTACAGATCCAAGACAGACCTCAAGAGAGACCACGCGCTTTTCTCTTTGGCCACATCTTCTTCTTCCAATGCCTTCTTGATTTTCTGGGACGGCGCTAATAACCAGATTCAGTCCGAAATCAACGATGACGTCTCTGACTTTACAAGGCTCAACTACCAGCCGAACATGTGGCACTCTGTTTGTACCACATGGGACTCTGAGTCTGGACTCGTGCAGCTTTGGTTTAATGGACAACCTTTGGTGAGGAAATCTTCCAGCAATAGAACAATCAGCGGGTCTCCTATGATCATTTTGGGACAGGTACAGTTTGGTTAATAAGCACCCTAATTAAGAAATGCTGGTATTAGATTTATCTTGTGCCTTTCATGAATACATAGTTTTTCCATTCTACACAGGAGCAGGATCACTATGGTGCTGGGTTTGATATTGGCCAATCTTTCATGGGCATGATTTCTGACGTCCACATGTGGGACTACGTCCTTCACAGCTGCGATATCCACGACTACGTTAACGAATCTAACTTCCATCCAGGAAATGTACTGAACTGGAGGGCACTGGAGTTCACCATCGAAGGCCACGTGCTGATAGAAGATAAATTCCCGTCATGCCAAGGGCTCTCCGTCTGATGATATCTGTTATGTAACAATCGTAAAGTTCTGTCACCCATCCAAGCTCCAGCTTCAAGATAGAACAAAACTGACCAACCGAGATTCTCTGCAAATAAATGAAATCTATTTCGGAATAATAACTCATTGATCTCTTGTTGTACTTGTCCTTTTGCTATCACTTGCTGTGATGTGTTTCAATAAACATGAGCTTTATTGTGATGTGTGCTGAATTATCATCAGTTTCTCTGTTCACGGTTCATTTCAAGAATCTGAATAGGAACATTCGGTCAGACTTAATGAGCCTCATAAGCGGTTCATTTTCAACATGAAGACAACATGAAAGCAGCTTGTAGTTTGCATATATAATGATAATATATAGATCAACATACACACACTCCACATCACCATTTCAGCATCAAATTCTACTGATCCTCAAGGTGAAATGTAAACCAAAGACTATTTTTACACTTCCTGGAGCTTTTTGGGGACTCATTACCACCCTTGTTGAGAAACGGTGCCGGCAGTTAAAATCTTAATCTGGGCTTAAACATTCGGATCCGCTGGAGTTAATTTTGTTTGTGTTCTTCCCAAATTTCATGACTGTGGGAGTGATGTTTCTCGTGATATTGAACCGTTAAAATGGCTTTCCAGGTAAGATGAGGGTGAAATTACAAAAACCACCAGGTCTGAAAAAGACATTTTATGAAATTTGTTGCAGTGGTGCAGTGCAGTAACGAAGACTTTCACATTAACACAAATACAAAAAAGTGCAGGTCGAAAAACAAATACACTTACGTTTTGAGAATATTTTATATTTGTGTCATATTTAACATCTTTATTTTTTTCAACAAGAGAACAAGAATGGCCGTGTGTAGGACTACAGTTATTAGTTGCAAAACACAACAAGGAATATTTCAACATAGGGATAGAAATTCTGTTGCTTCATCAACATAAACCACTGTGTAGGCGATTATGGGTTTATGTTATGAGATTCTGAGGCAGTCATAACAAAAAAAGAAGAAGTGGACAAAGGAAACAGACACGCAGACGGTCGTGAGGACGGAGAACGTATACAAAACTCACAATCCTATTGAGAGCTGCACCCAAAATTCAGACATGGATTTCAAGGTAAGACCAAGAAATTCAATTAGGAGCTTAAAATGGATCATATCTAAATGTTTCCTATTTGTGTTTTTATCTTTGCATTAGATGATGACGTGTTTTGTTCTGGTGATACTGACAGCATGTGATGCAATCCCTCGAGGTATGTTTTTTTTGTTTGACTCTGTCAAGGAAACATCACAGTAAAGTTGCATGCAAGGAAATCTAGAGTAATTTGCTGTCTTTTACCTTTAATGGTTCTTTTCCTACCTGTCAGAACCCAAAACAAATATGTTTAACTGAATTACTGATGTTATCTCCACCCACATTTTTGTTGTATCTAAAAGCACACCAGAGCCACAAATAGCAAAAGACAGACCTTGAATGTACCATGTGTGACGTGTGATTGCATCAGAAAAATAAAGCAGCTACAACAATCTAAGCTTAATACAATGATATGTTATCACTGTAATGTATATGTGTATTGAAAAACAAATCTCCAAAAATAAACCATTTTCCCCAGATTTTATATTTTAAAAAAATTGTTTGTGCTCTTCAGCACACCTACGAAATAATTTGAGATTCAGTTGTGACCAACAGTCATGTGACAAGAGTTTCTTCAGGTGAACTGCAGGCTGTGTTTACAAAGAGCAGAGTGGACTGAGAGCAAAATAAAACATACCAGATCAATAAAATAAATGCAACATGGCTCAAAACAGAAGAGCTAGTTGATGAAAGATGCATTCAGCATGGTGAAACGTCTTCCTACAGCTGATGTGCAGAGTAGAGTTAAAAACTTCTCGTTGGTAGAGGTTGTGAAACTGCAAAAGGTCAAATATAAATAGAATGCATTGGTAACCCCTGTTGAAGGTAATTTTCTTTCAGTCTGAAACTTGGTTGTCATTATTGTTTCATTTCAATTCATTATGGATTTCAATCATTGCTGCCTGACATGTTTTCTTCCCGTTCAGATTTGTCTGGTAAAATGTTCATTTTCCCACGGGAAGGCAACTTCCTTTATGTCAGAAAGGCCATTCGACAGAATTTCCACGCTGTAACCGTATGTCTCAGGTAACAACAACTGTGTAAAATGCATAGAGAAACCCGCTGTAGACTGAGCAAAACATACATGATGTATTTTTCATGTCTACAGATCTGTAACAGACCTAGCGAGAGGCCACACTCCTTTCTCTTTGTCCACAATCTATTCCTCCAATGCGTTTGTGATTTCTTGGAATGCCGCTGATAAGGTGATGGAGCTCTATGTCGACGGCAGAAAGACTGAATATAGAGGGCTGGACTACAAGCTAAGCGCATGGCACTCTGTTTGTACCACATGGAACGCTCAGTCTGGACTCCTGCAGCTGTGGTTTGATGGACAACGTTTGATGAAGAAAACGTCCACGTCTGGGATAATCCGAGGGCCTTTTGCGATTGTTGTAGGACAGGTACACGCTTATTATAAAGTACAATAACAACAGTTTTAATGTATTGCGTGTCTTTGCTGTATTCATTACCGAACAAAATTGTGTAATAGTGGTTTTATTTACTCTCACACATCTGCATTCCCCACAGAGGGAGAAATACTACGGGAAAGGGTACAGCATGGAGCACTCTTTTGTGGGTCTGATGTCTGACGTCCACATGTGGGACTCCATCCTCTCCGATTGTGACATCCAGAAGTACATGAATGAACTTAAATTCCCTCCAGGGAATGTGCTGAACTGGACGGAGATGGACGTCGAGATTGCAGAAGGTGTGGTGGTAGAAGATAAATTTACGGCTTGTACCTGAACTTTTAAAACAGTCCTATCTTAAAACATCAGAAATCCTTCTCTGTGTGTTTTATGTCCAATGTAAAGAAGAAGTTAGCAATGTCAACAAATTATATTGAATCACTTTCCTTTAAAGGATTGTTCTGGATGTTTTTATTTTAATTTAGCAATCATATGAAACAGTTATTTAGGTTGCTATGAATATTTTAGATGTCTATTCTGTATAACATGTTGCAGTGATCTGCTGTCCTTTCTGTGCAAACATGTATGTTGATCTGAAGGTGTAATAAAAGCAGTAGAACTGAGATAACCAAATCAAGCTGTTTTTGATCGTTCGCAATCTTCTTCAACAGACTTGTTCTACATAGGTGTAACTTCACAGTCTGTATGGAGAGAAGTAAAAGCAAAAGGGCAGAGTTATGTTCATTGTGTAATTAAACACAAAATATTCAGCCATATAAAAGTGAACTACATTTCTATTTTTTTTTGTAATGACTCTCATGCGACACACACAGTTTGTTATGTGTTAAATTTGCTTCCACCATTTCTTGCTTAATAATAGGTCTATTATTAAAGATACAATAAAAGGAACAATATTTACTCAGAGATGATTCATTGAATTTTAATCTTTTGTCCTTGGTTTAATGCTACCAGTACAGTTTTCTCCACCAATGAGCAAGACTTCTGTTTTGGGATGATTAAACTCTAGAAAATGTCCTGCCATGCATAACTTGATGTATAAAATACAGCTAAAAAGGGCATTGATTGGCCCTGGGTCATCAGGAGACACACCAGTATATAGCTGTGTGTCATCAGCATAGTGACGGAAACTGATAACTTCTGATGATGTTTTCAAGTGCTAGCATGTAAAGTTCAAAACTGCAGGAGCGAAGACTGAACCTTGAGCAACACCATGATTCATTTTCTTACTTTTTTTTCTCTTTAGAAGAGGTTTAACTTTGATGGAAAGCAGCAGGGAAACCATCCATGTGAAAAGAGTAATTTGCAATAGTGAGTAGATCTTTATTTTAAGGGTGTGGGAACTGGATCCAAAGGGAAGGTTGCCAGTTTTTGGTAAATAACTTGGACCAAGCATCTCCACGTCAATCAGGTCAAATTTCTCCATTGTTTCCTTGTTTAAAAACAAGCATTCTGGGGTGTCTTTATTGGGCAAGGATATGGTAACTTCCGAAGGCTTTAAAAATGGCAGGGAGCAGGATCACGTGACTTCAGCCAATCAACAAAGGTCAGGCTACGTCACAACACAGTCACCATGGCCTCTGACCAATCACGGTGAGCCAGAGTGATATTTTGACACAAATGTCATAAGTGCTGTAAGTCTGACTGGTGAGTTGTAAATAAATGTTCCTTTATCTTTATATTGTATGTTTTCCAACAAATGGCAAACATACTATTTGGAGTTATTTTACACCCTAGGTAGGAGAGGAATCGTATATGGTAACTGCTTTGACTTTGAAATTGACTTTGATTTGCAGCCTAAGTGTAAAACTTTTTCTAAAAGTCAAAACTGAAAAAAAGTCGTCTTATCTACACCAATAACACTCGAGGGTGGAAATTTAAATTTCCAGACATTTCAATAAGTGCCCTATAAAGGGTTAAAATAGAAATATCAGTGTCTGAGAAACACCTAAAATCCTGATATCAGTACTTTAATATTCAATGGAAAGATAAGTTACCAAGGTCAACAAACTTTTGGACTTGTTAAAGTCCATCTCAATGCAATAATCATGTGAAAGGTTTATTTTGATTGCTCTGATTGTTTTACCTGTCCAAACCATGAGGAGATTTCTACCTATTAAGACTGTCTTCCTGTTCTTTTTGTGCAAAACTGTGTTCAAAAGTTCTGCCAAAACCATAATAAAGCAGTCAAACTGAGATAAACAAATCAAGTTATTTCTGACCTTCCACCACCTTTTTCAATACACTTGTTCTATGAAGGCGTCGCTCCACAGCCGGAGTGAAGACGAGTAAAAGCAGAGAAAGGCAGAGTACAGATAAGTGTCATTGAACACCACACACAAAATTCGGCCATGGGGAGAGAGTCAAATAAGACAAATTGCCGAGGTGCCACAGCAAAGAATAACAGCTTAAAGGGCATGCATATATAATGTGGATAAAGGGGTGGAGAGCGGATGTGCAGGTGGGTGTGGAGGTCAGGTAATTTCTATAAATCTGTTAAAGTTATATGCTGTGTACTGGAGCTGCACAATATATTGTTTCAGCAGTCACATGGCATGAAGGAACTCCAACACCATCATGCCACACCTTTTTTTTTTGCTGCTTGGTACGAAAACAAAACTTGCATGGTTCTCATTTTCCACGACGAAAAGCCTATCTGATAGAACATCATTTACTAACATTTTAGGGTTTGTGGATACATTGATGAACTGTATTCACTAGACCCAGAGTTTGTTGACATGTACAGGGGTGAACAGAAGCGTACATGTATACCTCGAGTTTTCAGTGACTCCTATAAATGTAACATGCGTTTTTGTCACATAGAACAATTATGCATTTTGGTTCCGTCATAGATTTATTAATACAGGACAAAAAATATGACAAAATTTGCTGGGTCAAAAATATACATACAGCAATGCTAATATTCGGTTAAACATCCTTTTGGCTAATTTCACCTCAACTAAGTACTTTTGGTAGCCATACACAAGCTTCTGGTTGTATCTTTGACCCTCCTCTTGACAGAGTTGGTACAGTTAAACAAAGTTTGTTGGTTTGTTGACACAAACTCTTCATCACAGTCTACAAGTTCTTCTGGGATTTGATTCAGGACTTTGGAGAGACCTAAATTTTTAGCCTGATTGAGTGATTTCCAATTCCAAGATTCAACCTTCTGGCTGACACTTTTAGGTTTTCCTGAAGAATGTAGAGGTATCCTCCTTCCTTCTTATTCCATTTACTTTGCATAAAGCACAAACAGACCCAGAACATAATACTGCCACCACCATGCTTGACAGCAGCTTTGGTGTTCTTGGGGTTGAGAACACCAAACCTACCTATACGTTCTTGATTAACACAGCTTTCTACATCACCAAAAGCGGTCATTTAAGTCGCTGAATGTATATTTTTCACCCAACAAATTTGTCATATTTCGAGAAAAACTTATAATAAATCTATGAAAAACCCCCAAATGTATAATTTTGTCACAAAGATGCATGGGTTTCAGTGATTCCATTTCATGAAATTCAGAGTTATAGGAGTCATTTGAAATGCAAGACATGATGGTGTTTTCAAGTGTAGGTAATTTTTTGTTTTACGATAGTATGGTTCACATGTACACAGCAAAATGAAGAAGATCCACTGAAAAGGAAGATTTGGTTGGAAAAGAAAAATGCAACATTACAACCTCCGAAAAGCATGAAGTGGACGAAATACAGTGTTTTATGTCTGATCATTTAAATCAGTGCATTAACGCTCTGCACGATGAATCCAGATTAGAATTAGAATTAGAATGCAATGCAAATGAAAAAACTGTTTTGCAGATGCACTCCTCTACAAAATCACTGTAGAGCGATCACCATTGAACGATTAATTCTTTCCCAATAATCACCTTGTGCAACCTCCTGTATTTCCTCATATTGCAATGCCAGTTTTGTCTTGAGCAAGCCTGCTGCTAATGTAAATATGTATTCCTTCCATGTTTCTCCTTTTTCTGTCTCACTGAGTTCTGTTCTTATCATTACTTCTCGTAACATTACAGAATTGAAACTCCACTGTGGGTGATGGTACCACTTTTCATGGTTCTATTCAATCCCATGTGACATTATTCTCAACATACAAGACAGTGTACTTTTGACAACTCTGGACCAAGAGTTTCACACCGAAACAAGTCTGAAATCTGAAGTGTGAATAAAATAAATACCATGCAATGTTGAGAATATTTTGTGTTCTTTTTATATTTCACATTTTGACTTTCCGAGGCCTACTTGAGCTTTACTGAGGACCTTTTGAGTGTGTAGCTAGATTTTGCAAAACAGAACAAGGGTTATTTCAACACAAGGATGTAAATTCTGTCGATTCATCAAAATAAAACACACTTCGTGGGGGATAGTGGGCTTTTAATGTGACAAAAATCTGAACAAAAAACAAGAAGTGGATAAAGGAAGGAAACACAGACGCACGGATAGAAATGGGGAAGGAATAAAGTCAACAAAACTCACTATCGTGCTCGCAGCTGCACACAAAATCCTGACACGGGCGTCAAGGTAAGACTGAGAAATTCAAAACTGGATGAAGAATTTTTTTAAAATTGTATTATATGTTAACCTATTTAAAAAAAATCATTCCCTCTTGTATTTTTTTTAATCATAGGAGTTCAAATGATAATTTCTTGTCTGAGTAAGAGCTACAAATGGATCAAATCGAAACGTGTTCCATCTTTTTTCTTCTATGTTTGTATTAGATGAAGTTGTTCGTTGTGCTGGTGATGCTGTCCGCATGTGCTGCAAATCCTGAAGGTAAATTCATTTATGTACTTTTAAGTTTAACAGAGTGAAAACTGCAGATGCATGCAAGACAATGCATAATGACGAGCTGTCTTCTGGAATTTAAAGATAACTCATCAAGTCAGATTTAATGGATATGTGACAGAAAAAAGACTTTTTTTCTTTATTTAAAAGATAAAAACCAACATGAACTTTGCAATGGATTAAAAAAAAAAAAAAGATGTTTTAAATGTGTTTTAACTAAATTACTAATGTTGTCACACTTCTATTATCTTTGCTATTTAACATCAATGCTTCTAAATTTTTCAAAACATCTGACTGACTTGCAAGCAAAGAAAAATCAAATTACTTCAATCTAAAACTTTGGTGTCATTAGTGTTTCAGCCTAACTAAATGTAAGTTTGATTTACGACTGTCTTGGGCGGTGGCGATCATCATTGATAATGCTGTTGTGTCATTAAGTCAGTCAATCTTGGCTCCAGTCATTGGTCAGCAGCACTAAGTTATCTGGTTTTAGAGCATTCCTGCTGCAGCAGAGTCCAGTCGGTTCAGTGTAAAAGTTTCGAAGCCTTAGCGTTCACACCTAAAGAGAAAACACACAGTGAAGGCGCTTTACATGGGTTTTCTTCTCTCTTGCTCTCTGTGCTTACATATACTGTATTTTAAAACAGAATTCCCAAAAAAGCTGTTCTCATTTCCTTATTTTTCTGTTGTCAGACAACAAACTGAGTAAAAAACATTAAGACTGTTTTTTGACGCCTTTCGACGAACAAATATGAGTTAAAGAGGACAATTTCATCTGTATTGAAGCTGAGTTTAAAGCAACTACCAAGGTCAGAGAATTACAGAATTGCATAAGAAGACGTTGCATTCGCTGGTCTGTGCTTGTGAAACATCCACTGTGTCCCTGTTGTGCTTTGTTTAACACAGAGACTAAACTTGTGCACTTTGTTAGACGGTTTAACAGGAACTTACATTTGTTTTGAAGTTGACTTATACGGAAGCCGAGAGCGGTCATGGCATTTTTTTAAACGGCATTTTCTCAAGATAACGAGATAATTATCTCCGGGACCGAGAACTCCGACATGACGTGTCATGAGAACAGCTGACCGGGCACGACAACTTACAATGAAGCGCTCATGCCCGGTCTCATCTGTCCTCCGGCCCCCCGCTGGTGACTGAGGTCCCACACACCTGGGATTCCATCCTGGACCGGGCACGAGCGGGCAAACACAAACACCAATTATCTCATTATCACGAGAAAACAATTCTTGTTATCCCGAGATAACGACAAAATTAACTCGTTATCTCAAGAAAACGGCGAAGAAAGAACAGCAGCAGAAAACGACCGCTCCCGGCTTCCGTAGACTTAACTAATGAGAGCTCTTTAATTAATTTCTATCTTGCTGTAGTTCCCAGTTTAACACTACAGTTTTATACTGTCATTAGTGATGCACGATATTAAAATTTCTGGCCGATACTGATATCTGATATTAAGATTTCTGATATCGCTGATAATCGATGTTAGCGATGTTGATATTCAACTTTTGTTCACGCCGAAAAATGAGTGTAAGTCAGCACTAAGAGAAGGTGAAAACTATTCAAAAGAAGCCTAAATTAGATCACATAGTTTACTTTATTACGTAACAAAAGTAAAACACATTTTAAGATATTTAAACAAGTCCAGGACCATTTAAGTAGAAACATCTGTGAAATAGCAGCGATATCAAATGTAGAGACGAAGGCGCTAATGTTTGACAATCATCGGTTTTTTTCACATCGGCTAAATTTGTTCATCGGACCGATACCGATGTGGTCGCCGATACCGATGTGGTCGCCGATATATCGCGCATCCCTAGCTGTCATATATAAACCTTTGTTCATATTTTGCACCTTGCTGCATTTTACAACAATATACAGCTTGTCAAAACAAAATTAATTTCAATTTTTATTGTTTTTTAAAGGTTTGAAATAACCGATAGATTAATGAATAGAAAAAGCTTTGTCTGTAAACCTTCCACTTTCCAGCAACAAACAATGAACATCAAAATGTGTTTTGTTAACTACTAAGCGTTTCTTTGTACAGGAATTGCAGTCGACATCGAAACATGAAAGCTTTGCAGTTCCATTGTAAACATCGATCCTACTTTCATGTAATGTGGTTAAAACAACCTTCAGCTCGTCGGTAAAAATGATCTATGCGACAAAAAATAAGCAAAATGATACGAGAACAGTCTTCTCTCTTTTCAGATCTGTCGGGTAAAATGCTCACCTTCCCAGTGGAAAGCAACACCGCTAACGCAAGGCTAACCGCAGCAAAGGAAGATTTCAGCGCTATAACCGTCTGTCACAGGTAGCAACCAACGTGTAAAAGGCAAAGAGGAAGCCGCTGTATCTCTGACTGTGACTGTATATCACATGCGATGTGTTTGTCGTGCCTGCAGAACCTTCACAGACCTCAACAGGGACCATGCGCTGTTCTCTATGGCCGTATCCTCTTCCTCTAACGCCTTCCTGATTTTCTGGGATGCCACCAACAAGGAGATGGAGCCACACGTCAGGGACACAAAGGCAGAATACAGAGGGTTCGACTACAAGCCAAACATGTGGCACTCTATTTGCACCACCTGGGACTCCCAGACTGGATTTGTGCAGATGTGGTTTGATGGACAACCTTCGATTAAGAAGTATGTCAGCGCTGTATCGAACATCAGAGGAACCCCTATCATCATTTTAGGACAGGTACGGTTTTATTGATAAGTCCTTTTACTTACATGGCTCTAGTTGTGCACATCTCAGATTTAGGTTCTATTTGTTGGATCTCAGACTTCTGCCTTCCCCACAGGAGCAGGACAGCTACGGCGGAGGGTTTCACGACAAGCAGTCCTTCGTCGGCATGGTGTCTGACGTCCACATGTGGGACTACGCCCTGTCGTCCTGCGAGATCCAACGCTATTTCAATGAGCTGAACTTCACTCCGGGGAATGTGCTGAACTGGGGGGCGATGGAGTTCACGAAGACAGACAAAGTGATAAAGGAAGAGAAAATAGTGTGGTGTCACTGAATGTTTTTAAAAACAGGATCTTACAATGTCAAAAACAGAGATCCCTACTTAACACGACTGTGCTGTTCATAAATCTGCTGTCCTTTCTGTGCAAAACTGTATCCATCCCTAATAAAACAGTAGAACTGACAAACCAAAGCAAGTCCTTTTTGGCCAGCAATTTCTATTAAATCACTGTCCATGTTTTTATCTTAACTTAGTGATCATATGAGACAGTTATTTAGGTTGCTTTGATTAGTTTACCTGTCTACACCATGAGAAGACCTCTGGTTAACATGCTCCTGTAATCTGCTGTCCTTTCTGTGCAAAACATAGCCAAAGGTGTAATAACGCACTGAGATAGCCAACTCAAGCCGAGTAAAAGCTTAAAAGGCAGGCCTGGTATATCTTTTTTTTCCCAGCAGATATACTTAAATACAGATATTTAAAACATGTAACAGCATCTAGCTACAAGGAAGTAGCACTCTTTAAATGTATTCGCCACTTGTTACCCAAAACTAAAAAAGAAAACCTGCAGCCGGCGGTGCAAAGAATGCACCAAACAAAGAAAAATACTTTGCTGACTGATGCTGAAAAGCTGTGTTCAGATACAATTGATTTATTGAAGCAGTCTGCAGGTGAGGATGAGGAAGAAAGTTGTCAGCTGGTTAAATGAACTAACTAAACGCTCCGATAACCTTCAGGTTTCAGTGCTGCAGTCCTGCTGCAGGTTTGACCATTTCTTAGGCGTAACTGTCAAATGCAAACATTTATAGACGTTTAATTTCTCCCAAGTGTTTATGAAAATAAAAGGTAATCAAATTCCATTCTAAATTGGCA